GTTCAAAATGGACATATCAGGAGTAAATTGGTGTTCTTCAGTTGTAACTGGACTTGAAGGACGAGTGTCGGATGATTGCGTCATAGGTACAGAAATCTCAACTCCATCCACTCCCTCAAGAGTAATCCCTGGAGACATCGAGCTCCCCACACCTCGTGTAGTTATGGGTCTCGACGTCTGCGCGGGGAGTACGCTATCGGCAGTGAAAATCGTTGAAGCTTCCATTGTTGTTGTCTTGGGTAAAATCAAAAGTGAGTCTTGGAGAATTGTTTTGAGATTCTCACTGAACTTATTCTCAGTTGCGACACTTGAGTCAGGCACGATTTGATTGGGCAGTGAAATGTTTTGCGCGGATCGTGAGTGATGGTCGCCAGGATTCCCAATCAAAAATTCAGCTGGGATACCAAGTCAAGAATACAGCTGGGGCTTGTAATCAAATTACTGGTGTTCAACTCGAAAAGACATGGGATATTTTTCGAATAGCTCGTTGTATCCAGCTTGAGAGAAAAGGACTGAGATCGCTTCGATGATGTTTCGATAGTCGAAGTCGTCAGGCGAGAGCAAACGAATTGTTCGCCTGATGGAAGCTGTCCAACTGACAAATATAATCTCGTTCCATAGTAAAATCGGTAGAGGCCTTTTGCCATCGAACTTGGTTGCATTTCTTTGAGTCCATAAGGAGTACGTGATGGAAGCACAAAGGAGGGACCATAATTTGAATAATGCGTCATGCAGGTGTTTTCCTCGCGTATTGGTCTTGAAGCGACTGATATTCGTGGTGGTTGCCCAATCAAACTTAACACCATAAGCTCTCCATGCTCGCTCTTGGAACATCCAAACTTGATGTACATGATGACATGTATGGAAGGCATGATGAAAAGTCTCAACATCCGAGCAATCTTCATAGACACAACAAATAGCGTCAGGGTTTTGGATCTGCATATAGGAAAACCTCGAGTTGACGGGTAACATCTTCATGTGCAATCGAAACCATACATCGCCTTGAACAGGTGGAGGTAGATTACACACAGTACGAATGAGACGGATATACTTTGCTATGTCTTTGTCAGTTCTTGTCGTAGTCTTCATAGGATGTATAGCTTCAGTCTGGGGGGCGTGGTAAGCTAAATGCACCACGTTTTTCTTGGGCCACGACTCGAAAGGTAAATCAGCATCCTTGATTCTGGCTGTAAACGGATGTTGACAAGTCGGGACATTAGGCAGTGGCGACCCTTGCCGAATGTCAAACGATCGAACAACAACTTTGTCGAAGATTCGTGTGAGTTGATTGTAAATGTCGGTTGTGCGGGGCAATGTGGCAAAGTCCATGACTCCGTCCTGGTTTAGACAAACTTGGGCAGCTGGATTGTTCGACGACATTCGGTTCACGAACATGGTCTCTGTTGGCCAAGCGCCATGTGGGGTCAGGAAATCCTTCAGGCATCTGAGACCATTTTTGGCCCCGTGGCGGCACCAGAGACGCATGTCTTCATCTTTCACGACATTTGCTAACATCTTAGCAGAGCCGAAGTGCATTGCGTCGTAGGCTGTGAGCCATACCGGGAGGTTCAGTACCGTGTCGAGATTTGGAGGCACGCCGATTCGCTTACTCATGTCTGTGGCTGACCAATGTTTCCAAGTATCAAGCCACAGTGGATGGAGCTCGCGAAGCAAAAGCCACTTGGAGCTTGCATTTGGGTAGTATGAAAGAAAATCGAATGGGTGACTGTCTCGGAATAACTGATGTATTGTGCGGCTAAATTGTCGCTGTACAAGTTTCTTCCACACCAGGATTTCACCAGGAGAATCGGCAGACATAAAGAGCTGTAAACGAAGAAGGCGTTGTGTTCGCAGCCTCGATGCAATGTGGGGGATTCCCAAGCCTAAAGGCTTGTCGTACTGCCACCTTCTATGGATTGAGGGACGGTAACTCTCATCGAGCTGGGTCTTGCGGCAAAGTATGAACTTGTTTAACATTTGTTGCCACGTAACGACCATAGCAGGAGGCACAGGTACAACGGCTGTTACATGCCACAACATAGATAGCAACATCGTGGAGGCAATAAGCTTTCGGCCCTGCAATGTCCTTGCTCGTTTACCCCATAGTTGAAAGGACGAGATGAATTTGTCGTTGAGTTTTTGAAGTTGGGAGTCAGCCGAAAGTCGATGGCCAAAGAGAATACCAAGATATTTCGTACACTGACCAGTTGGTACGATATTGAGCAAACCATCTGCTTCGATGTCTTCTTGATCGAGATGGTCGTTGAGAACCAAGGTCATGCACTTGGAACGATTCAGACGGGCCCCTGAAGCCGTGCAAAACTCTTCCACAATTGCCATTTGCTCCACAGCAGATTGCAGCGAGTTTGATAACAACGTCGAGTCGTCGGCAAAGAATATACTCGTAATAACTGAGTCGTGGGGAGAGCGATTCCAAGATGTGGGGACGCTCGGAGCATCTCACCAAGAGGTTCTAGGTATAGGACGAACAGTAGGCATGATAAAGGACAGCCTTGTTTGACGCCTCGGGTAGGTCGGATCTTAGGGCCAAGCTCGCCATTGAAGATGATCTGGACCAAAGGTGAGTCGTACAAAAGAGCTACCCACGCAATGAAACCATCACCAGTGTTGACTTCTCTCAGCACATCAAGCATGAATTCTCGATCCACCATGTCGTACGCTTTCGAAAAGTCAAGGAATGTTGCATAGTAGTCGTGATCTTCGTTGGTGCAAAACGTTTGCAAAGTTTGCACAAGCAGGACGTGGTCATGCAGCCGTCGTCCTGGGACAAAGCCAGCTTGACTTGGGTGAATGAGATGAGGAGCTACTGTAGCCAGGCGATAAGCGAGGGCACGGGATAGTATCTTCACCTCCACTGACATGAGTGCAATAGGTCGGTAGTTTCCAGGATCGCCTCGATCACCAGCTTTGAAGAGCAGAGCCACAGCACTACGCCTTTGTTGAAGGAGTAGTTTACCGTGGTGGTGAAGTTGGTAGTTGAAGACCCTGACCAGGATTTCGGAGAAAGCCTCGGGTGCTACTTGGAAGAAGGCCGCTGGCCATCCATCAGGACCAGGAGACTTGTTTGGACTCATTGTCTTGAGAGCACTACACAGCTCGGCTGCTGTGATAGGTCTGTCTAGCTCCTCGCGTTGCTCATCATTGAGTTTGCGGGAGATAAACCGTATGACAGCCCTCCGCCTCGCCCGGTTTAGCCGAGGTTGTTCGCCACGAGTGGTAGTCATTATTACCTTCCAATGGGCAGTGAATCTCTCTTTGATAGTGGTAGGATCAGACACGGGAATGCCATCGACGTTGACCGTCGTGATAGGAACCTTGAGTCCTTGTGGCCTTCGAAAGAAGTGGCTCGTACCGCGTTCGTTGATATTTGCATGAAAATCGAATTGCTGATCCATGCGGTATTGGCGATATTCGATTCTTGCGTTTTCCAGCGCCAACCGAGTAGCATCAACGGCAGCCTCGTCGAGCAAGCCAGCTTCGTATGATCGTTGTGCAGATATATGTCTCAGTTTTAGGCTTTTGAGCTCGTGTTGCATGGATTGGAGGTGGTGGCGATGACATTGTTGTAAACGTCGTTTGATTCGCTTAAGCCACCCATACCAGACGGCTCCCATGTTTGTCGATTCGTCCGCACGCATCTCAGAGAGGAGGTGTGATGCCTCTTCTCGTATGGCTTTGATGACGAGCGGGTCTTTGAGTAGCTCTCTCGGCAGCCTCCAGTAGCCACGGGTCGTGGGTGTATGACTTGTAGAGAGAACGACAGTGTGCTCCAAGTGATCTCCGGCAAAGCTGTTAGTGGCATATTTTGAGCTTTGGTAGGATTGGGCAACTAAATCTTGGTCAATGAACCAGTAGTCCAGACGATTGCTTCGTCCTGGACCGCTTGCCAGTCTTTCGTGAGGGTGGTGTAGGCGCCACGCCGCTCCTATGGCTCAGTTGGTAGAGCGTCAGTCTCATAATCTGAAGGTCGCCAGTTCGATCCTGGCTGGGAGCAGCCTCTTTCATCCCTTTTTCTTGCCGCACTTGAACCGACATTCTCACAAAATCAAGCACACTACCATCGACACACAACAAGTATCACTCTGTCCCCTCGTCGTCAAAATAGCACCACCAGTCAACTAACACACACATTCCATTTGCCACACAAGGCCAGACGCATCGAAATGTTGTACCAACACACTACTCAATATACCTGCACCGACATATGCGCAAGTCTGTGAACGCGGCCAAAAACATCGCTCGTTCAGTCCTCCTGAGATCTCTTCTTTGCATGCACTCATGCCACTTTGTGTCGTGACAACAAGAACACTACTAAACACCGCGGTCCCAATCACTGATCACATGTATTACCTCGTTAGACGCAGAGGCTTAATATTGAATCCCCACGTTGCTTGATAAACGAAAGGTTGACAATACGACAGGAAAAACTCACGAACGTCTCACTCTTAGCTCTCAAAAGCAGTTCAATAGTGCCAGTGATTTCGATAGTAGTGTCTACAGTCGAAATGAACCAGGGATCGTAGAGTCTCCATATTGCGAATACTTTTACACAAATGAATGCCGCTGTGGCTACAGTGGTAAAGTGTCAATGGGTTTGTTTTGAATGGAATGAGAAGTGTGTTTACGCAAGGACTCGATGTGTTTGTGCGCATCCTTCCAGCAAGCATACATCAAGAAAAGTGTAGCGTCGGTCACCGGGGTAAACGCCATGCATTTGTATATGTTTCTAAGGTTCAAGAATACATGAGAAAGGATCCGTCGATGAGTTCCAGCATTTTTAGTCGTTGGTGGCATGTATGAAGTCTTGTAGACGTCAGTATCTCTATTTTTGAGGTGGTTTCAAGTGGAAGAAATGTTTGAATTTTTGGTAAGGCGAAAGATGGAGTGCGAGTAGTTTGAGACGAGAGTGGGGTATGAATAGGAAGGTGTTTGAATGGTGGATTTAGAATTTGAAGTGTCCAATCAAGGTATGCCGCTCCTATGGCTCAGTTGGTAGAGTGTCAGTCTCATAATCTGAAGGTATGCATTGGATTGTTTGCGAAACATGCAATCCCAAGTTAATGAAAATTTTTGCTAAGGGCCATTGATCCTGATCACAAGAGTGATGTTACAGTACAACACAAATTAGTCCACCTCCTGACCCACACGCTTGGAACCGGAACTAGGATTGAAAATATAGAAAGCCCAAAGAGCTCGGCGTTAAAGGCGTCTACAGCAAGCAAGCCTTCACTAGCCCCTTCCAAACCACGAGGCATTTGCAAAAACGGTAGCTTACGCTGGCGCAGTGATTGTCTAATCGTTAAGGCCGGTCGGGAAGTATTGTCAAAGAGAAAGATTGAAAACACCATACCGAACCGTAAACGTCAACATCAACAACGCCGGGAAAGAGGGGCCCATCAAACGTGGCAATAAGACTATCCGTTGTTTAGACGTCGCCAGCTGATGATGACGACGAATTTGACTCAAAGTGTATGACCGGCGTTGCAGCCGCAAAATCAAATATCAAACCCTCAACGAAAATGTGCCAGCCACATGCCAACCGAGCATTCACAAACCTTACATACCTCAGAGTTAGTAAAATCGACTGGATCAATGATTCAGGTGTACACACCATCTAACGCACGACGCAAGCATAATCGAAAACGCAACACCATCCAACATCATCGTCAATACCGCTGGAAAACTTAACTTCGCGCGAAACTGGAAGGATCGGCTACCCTTAGACTGAAAAACAATAACACCTTACGCTCAGAGAAGTGCACTACGTACCGGGGCTCCATTCGAATCTCCTTTCCATCCCGGCACTAAATATGAATGGCATCGATGTTCATTTTGGCAAGGAAGTCAAACTTATCCAACGTTCGACCGGAAACACTTTCGCTACTAGCTGAGGCATTAACCGCCTGCCAATACTAGAGACATTTCTGCAACAAACATTGGGAGGAACTACTACAACGACAGGTGGAATGGCTTTTCACTTCAATAAAATAAAGGGATCATCACAATTTCGACCGATGATCTGCCAGTCTCACTCTACATGATTGACTATATATAGTATTCTTATTGCAGAGTTATTGGATGTCACTTGGCTGTGGCTTTGATCGACGGATCTCTTTCACGATCGACGTGACGGACTTCGACCGACCGTACTTCATCGATTGCCGTGTCGCTTGTATGGCCACGACTCAGCATTTCTACCACAAGGCGCCAAAAGTACGAATGGAAGGAGTAAGCAAACTTGACGGCTCCACGATCCTTTGGCCCAAACATCTAGGCTGGCAAGCAACCAGAGAGTCCAAACTCGTATTCCTTCCACAATTCGTACAGATTGCGAGGTCTTTGTGACAGTTTGAGCTTTGGAAGCTTATGTGGCGCCGAAACGGAGGTATCGTCAACGCGTGAGTGTAGAGTAGATGGCATCGCTGCGATTCGCTTGAGCGACGAGTGGATACGATCGAAGCCAGCGTGGATGCTGCTGGCGATTCCCTCCAATTGTAAGTTTCGATTCATTTCAATATCCTCCAAGCGAGTGTTAATGCCTCGAAAATCACTAGACGGAGCTGTCAAGGCTGCCATGATTGCCGTTGTCGATGAATTGCTGCTGTCAATGGCTCCCACGTCCGCACCACACTCTAGAATTCGAATCTCTCCACCATATCCATGAACGACAATAGGCTTGCGTACAACCAAAGAACTCAACGGAGTGTCAATGTCAACATTCAACACAACACGAACGGCTCGTACAATCCTTTCCCCCAAAAAGCTCGGTAATGGATGGAAGTCTTGGTCCATTGAACTCGTGCCTGGTATAGCTGCATGGGCAAAGGCAAGCCCAAAAATTGTGCTACACCGGAGCCCCACAATCGATATGAGTTGGGCACAACCTGCGTTTGCAGAAAATCGAGGCTACACCAATTGCTTTCAATCATAGTGTATTGAGCTGGACCACTTGGACCACGCAAGCAGCAGGCAACAGTTGCTTCAGGATAATTTCTTTCAACATCAATATATGTGTCGACTTGCTTTTTCTGTCCCCTCCATCGACCACGCAACTCAATCTGCGGTCTTGTCACTCGACGCCTTGCTTTCGAATCTCACAACGAAACATATGTGATTGACCAGCAGTCGAGAAATCTCACTTTGGTGAAATTTTGTAGATAACATTGCAAGAATGGTACAAAAGTCTAGGACACGCATAAAAACAGACGATAATATTGTTGGCGTGGTTTGGAGTGTCCAAAAGGTCGGGATTTTATCCAGCACGTCTGTCTGCACTCTCAAATTGCGAGAAATTCTGCGACCATCATAACTCATTCTTCCTACACCTTCTCCAACCACATTTTTTCTGTGCTCTCCTATGATGGATTCCACCGAGACTTCCCCCGTCGCACTCTATCGTGTTCCTGTGTCGAAGTGTGCCAGAGATTTCAAAGAACAGTCGTCGTCAGCACGAAGTGAGCCTCAGATCATTGTCGGTAACACAGTGGAGGGAATGGAAAGACGCTCTGGTGGAGTTCTGTCGACCTCAATGCATTCGTGAAATCATTGTTCCAGAGGTCGATCCGAAATTCAAGGTTTCTGACAATTCGACCCCTCAAACGAGTGATTTGCACAAGTTTATAGACCTCGCATTTCATGACATATTTGATAAGCTCGTTCAAAAGCGTTGAACGAGTTGGATTTCCTTCGTCACGTATGTCATCCCATAGAACCAACTTCCGAGGCATAAATGAGCTCAATTTCTTTTTCATCGACTTCAATGTGTTGGATCGAGCAAAGCTTGGCAGGCTGGATGCCGAGGGATGCGTTGTTCCGAATGCTTTCAAGTTAAAGTATTGACGGATGTGCTCTGGTGTGATGTACAACAAGTCCTTAGACGAGAATAACGCTGCGTCCAGCTCATGCGACCGACCAAGGAACTCCATGAAGAGTTGAAGCTCGGAGTAATAGTCATTCTTCATGTCAGAACAAAAATGATTGGCTTATATGCGTGCAATAGAAGTGTTCCTCTCGATCATGGGTGAGATAAGTGAGATTTGAATAGAAATGACTGGAGTAAAAAGTCTCACTACACATCTCACTGAAAAAAGATAAATACGGTACCTCGAAAATACCCTTGATGATGCAGACTTTTTCGTCTTTTCGCCCAATAAGATGTTGATGAGAAGTCCATGGCGCGGCATGGCGCTGAAAGATAAATTTAACGCACTAGAGAAATGGAGTTTAACGTAGCGTTTTATTTGCTTAACTGCTTAATTAGGGCCCGTCTGGCAACCGAAAATATTACAATAAATTGGCCCAAAATGCCATTTTGAGGCCAAATTCAATACTTGAGGTCAAAATATGAACTTGTTTATCTCAAAGAGTTTTGCTCCAAACCCAATATTTTTGGCTGGGATATACTCAGTGGGGGCTCTCAAAATGCCATTTTACGAAATGGAGGTTTTACCCCTATTTTGAATATGCCATAAATCATTGATCCCATTTTGGCTGAAAATAATGATTTTGAAATTTTGCCAGACGCACCCTTAATACAAAGTTCAAGTTAAATCAATTATCAGAGTTTAGCTATTTTCATCGGTATACTAATATCAAGACAATACAGTGGTTTTAACAATGGGACAATTATTCCGGACCAAAGTAGTATATAATTATAAAGTACTTGCAGAATGTTACTTTACCACAATAGTATACGTATATCACGAAAAACTCTTATAAAATCAATACCTACTGAGTACAATTGTTCTAACAGTTAAAATGTAATACTTTTGTACAGAACAAATTGATCAACGATCGTAACTTTTTTCTAGTATTACTCCTAAACTATTCAAACTCAGGCACGCTATTTATACTCATAAATTGCTCTAAATAAATCAATTGTGATGCGAACGCGTAAGACACCAGTGCTACGTTTTATACGTAGATCTGATTGGATAAATGTAGCTAATTTTTTAAAGTCAATCATCCATGTGTCTTCTAGCTTCAACAATAACGATTTGATCGAGCTTGTTTGGCTCTTCAGTTTGGTCAAAACTACAATCTTACCTATATTTATGATGTGTCCAGGGCCTTTTACTTTCACTCCAGATTGAAATCATCAATTTATTTAGATAGTTACTCCGCATTATCTAAACAGAGTTGTCGGCTCACTACTGACTCTGCGGCTCCTCGGCAGAGAACAGCCCAACTATGTTCCCATGCATGCTCCAAATCTAAGGAAACTTGTACCCTGAACCACCGTTTTGGGACACCAAAACGGAGGTTCAAGATTCTAATGTAGCTCAGTGGATGTGAGAATAAGACCAAGCAATTCATAGCCTTGGAATAGATTTTTACAAAAATGAATACAAAGAATCACATACCCTTATTCAAACTCACAGACCGACCTTAGTGCGATAAATATCGGACAATGGTCTACAAGCATTCGTTTGCGATTTAGTGTACTAGCGGATCAAAAAGCAAAAGGTGAAATGCCAACTACAAAACTATTCGCTTAAATATATTGCATTTTTGATGAAAGCAATTATTTCAACTACCCAGGTCAACCATATCCATGATCAATCATCTTGCAGATTTGCTGTCGAAGGCGCCACAAATGACAAAATGACAGTGACGTTGTGCTTCGACAAAGTTTAGTTGTTAAGTATTGGTCAATTTTTGTCCAATGATTGTCATACTCTAGCGTAACTATTGTGGATAACGTCATCCACAATAGTTGATGCACACTTTTATAACAAATTATTGAAACAGTTTAATTCAGCAGAGTGTTTCGTCTCGTCCGCTCGTTCTCGTATTCAATTTGGCCCACTTGTGAAGAAATGGAGAAATGGGAGGCTATGCGGTTGGAACATTGATGAAACTCCACGAACATGAAGAGACTGGTACTAGTGTCTTTAACACGAAGAGTATCATTTATATGATGAACAATGGGACAAAAATGTAGTTGAGATAATCGCAGCACTCTCAGTTGTCGTCCAATCTTTGGTTGAACCGCTGCACTTGACGTCGACACAACGGTGTATAAGACCCACTGATCGCTACACGTTTGACTGCACAATTGATCAGCA